GGGTTCAAGCTCCAAGATTTTCATTCCAATTCGTGGGCAAGGCTTCAATTAAGGTATGGGGACCTTGATTCACAGAACACTTTTCTCCATGAAGCACTTCAAATTCTAATTTCGAAATTGGTATATTGTTCAAAAACTAGGGTTTCTATTCTAACCATGTGTTCTTCCTAAAAATGATTTCATCTTGTTAATTGCATTATACTATGGATGATTTGATATTTAATGGTGATTTTCATTGTAAAATTCCCCTTGAACCCATGAATACCCCCATGACCCCAATTTCAAGTATTGTGATGGGTGTATTGATGCAAGATGGTTATTATGAATTGCTACTATATGAATTTAGTTATTGAATCTTGTTCTATCCATGCCTATTGTAGTATCTTTGGGTGTAATTGTGAGACATGATTCATGACATTAAAAAGGGGTAAATTGCTAGGGTTTGTGCATATGAATGAAAGATGTGTATAAACTATTGATTCATTTAGAAAGTAAATCTCTTATGACTAATGAGTAAAGTTGTTATTGTTGAAAGATAGTTCTTCCCTTACCCTTACACTTCAGATTATATGTATTGTCTAGTATGATGATATTGTTGTTGTTGGGTTGTTGCAACGACAATTACACACACATATACTTCATGCATAAACATGATTATGATGTAATCAAATGGTGTTAATTGAAAGCATAGTTGTCATATGCACCTTCACACATTATTATGCATGAATTGTACATAAACCATGTTGATCCTATTGTGTTGATTGAAAGTCCATTCTCAAGAGTACACATGATCTTGGTGTGAAATTTATCCTCACATACTAATTATGATTCTAAAGTTGAAAGTATATTCTCACCTTTAATTTATCCTTGAGATATTTTATGAATTGTATTTAATGAGGGGTAGAGTACATCCATCACACATGTAAATACAATTCAAAGACTAATGACATATAATTTGGGAAATATTGCTTAGCACCGAATGGATATGGATAATGAGGTAAATGTCCCTCGCCAATGCGATACTCTCAAGTTACACCTCTCTAAAGCAGCATATGCGGTCGTTATCAAGTAAAGAACCAACTTGTTGGTTGGGGTCGATCCCATGAGGAATATGGTTTAGACTTAAACTTAACTGACGATTATATTCGTTTAGTCAATGTATTTCTGAAAATAAGTAATTAAAGTGGGGGGATTTGTGAAACAAATTCAGGAAATTACATAAGCATTCAATGAGCAAGATTCAAACTTTAGTTGTTATCAAGATGAGAAAGTAACTAGGGTGTACGTGTTCCCCATAAGCTCATAACGCGGTAATCCTAGTAATAACAATCCTTTCCTAGTGTATTACATGCAAAGTGATAAGTTAGGAATCTCTAATTCCTTGGTCTGAAAACTGGAGAATTTCACCCCGCACCTTGGTCCGGCTACGTGTGTATAATTTACTAAACCTTACATTTACCTCATATTAGACATCACATCGATGTATGGCTTAGTTTTCACCCTCGCACCAATCGACATTAGACTATTAGATTGTATCACACTAAATCTATGTTGATAATTCTTTTCTTATTAACTACCTCCTTGGTCCAGCAAGTAGCAACAAGGCGAGTTCTAACGTGTGTACTAGTTAAAAAGACTTCTAAACGAAAGAATTATCAATGCATGCAACAACACTATTTAAGAATTTCTTAGTTACTTTTCATACTTTGTTAATCGATCATGGTTCCAAAAACCCTTGTTGTGGATTTAGTTACCCATATTAGCAAGAACACAATTCATATTTTTAGAAGAAGAAATCATGCACTTACGTAATGAGAATGATAAACCCAGAATTTCAACTTGAATTTCCAAACCAAAATCTTCAAAACGAACTTAGGAAATTAAGAAT